GCTGAAATATTCCTCTGGAACTTTAGCTGCTATCCGTGGGAGCCCAGCTAGCCCTCTCATGCCTACTCCGCACTGCCTACCTGTCTTGTGGTGAAGTGATTTCTTCTGCCTGTCCTTGGTTATAAGGCTTCTCTCTACCTAGTGTTCAGTTGATGATTTCTCTACAATTTATTGTAATTCCAGGTTGGTCCTGGGAGGTGGTTAGTGTAGCTTCCACTTACTCCTCCGCCACCTCAGATCTGGATTTCTTCTTTTAATTTCTTGAGTGCAGATTTTATATGAATTGATGAATGAACCAAGGTAAGCAAAACTTTAATAATTGCAATGTCTTCACTGTCAATGTTAAAGTTGTGTATTTCTTCTATAATCATGAATTCTGTCTTGATGTTCAAATGCAGACCTGCTTTAGCTCATTATATAAATGGACAAAGTTATCAGAGTGGATAAACAACATAGTTAGGAAGTAGAGGAGCCAAAATTCGAAACCAGGTCAAATTGATTCCCCTATTCTATTAGGTTAAACAATATAAAATAATGTTTGACTAGTTGAAAATTATGCATAGTAAAAACTGACATAAAATATATTCCTGACTGTGCTGTTTAGAATTTATGGCGGCGCTATGACTTCAATTTCTCTAATTATTTATTTGTTTGGTTTAATATTTTTATTGTTTTTTTTCCACAGGAATAAAAACATGGTAACTCTCCCAAAATTGAGAATTTTTTAAAATATGAATTGAAGCTAAGATATATGAAAAATGAGGCAGGCAGAAATGGCAATTTGGTCTTTAGAGAGGGCTCTGTTGCTCAAGGATTATTTGGTGATGGTCAAAAAAATTTTATTCCTGGTACCTTAATCTCAAAAATTATCCTTATAAGGGGTTTCTTTTCAGGTGATGAAAATGTTCTAGAATTAGATAATGGTGACAGATGCACAACTTTATGAATATACAAAAAACTACTAAATTGTACACTTCAAAAGTGTGAGCTTTATGTTGCATGACTTATGTCTTGATTTTTAAAATAAGGATAATTTTTTTAAATGAACTTTAAAAGAGACCCAAATCCATTTTAAACCAAGATCAATTAAGAACGAGCAGAAGTTAATCCACAGACAATAATTTGAGGTCTTGGAACCAACTTAGGCGTTTCAGGTATGAGTTTTTTTGAAACCTAGTTTAAACAGGGAGAGAGAAAAAAATTATACAAGTTGGTACATCAATTGACAAGTGATTAAAATTTCAGACAGTGGAGGTATGGATATCACTTTAAATTTAAAACAACGGAAAACCATTTTTAGAAATCATAGCCTGACAATCAAAAGTGATTTGGGCAATGACTGGATGCTGGAAAACCTCCCAAACATGTGAGAAACCATTAATGCAATCCCCAAAAGTACAGTGACTATATGCTGATATACAAAAATTATAATTCATTATTTCATTTTTCACTCCAGATAAGACAACAGAATAGCATGTTACCAAGAAATTGAAATTATGCATTAAAAATTAATCCTAAAGCACATGCATTGGTTAACACACATGGACCTATACATTTTCATGACGACACTCAACAACATGTGTCACAAACTGACCACAGCAAAGTTAAATGAATTAAGCTACAAAATTGTCAGTAATGTGCTATATTCACATTTGCAAAATCTTTCTCTCATGGACTAGAGCTCTAAAAAAGAATCCTCAATTAAAACATAGTAACTGGTGCCTTTGAACAACTTAAACATATAATCTAAAAATGTAAAACTTTATAAAAATGAAATATATAATATTTTTCTGACACTGGGATGTTAATCCTTGGATGTTAATTTCAAGTGGGAGAGTATCTGGTACCTGTTCTCCAAGTTGGACATGGCAGAAATCCTACTACTACATAGTTTGATTGAGTAAAATTTATGATTTCAAAAACACAACATTTTCATTTTGACCATAAAATGGTAATTTCATGTTTCAATATAATATAATGCTGTTTTCAAAGAATGTGAGAGGTTTTGATTAAATATATCTAATAGATCTACCTAATAATGGAATTATTACCTAATAATGTTAGCTGCTCACAAACCATCACAAGCTGTTTTTTAAAAAATATTTTTTTTCTTTATTTTTAGAGAGAAGGGACGGGAGGGAGGAAGAGAAGGAGAGAAACATCAATGTGTGGTTGCCTCCCATGCATTTCCCCATTGAGAACCTGGCCTGCAACCCAGGCATGTGCCCTGACTGGGAATCGAACCCGTGACCCTTTGGTTTATAGGCTGGCACTCAGTCCACTAAGCTACACCAGCCAGGGCTCAAGCTCTTTAGAAAATATTTTGTTGTCACATCACCCATTTGATATAGACTCACTGTTCTATTTGCTGCAGCCAAAAATTTCATGTCATGGAACAGAGTCAAGATCTCAAGCTAAATATATAAGCATCAATCTATATATAAATTCTCTTCTTTCCATTTGAATTCATCACATAATATCACTTCTCATGACAAATTTTCTGTACACAAAGAATTGAGCCACAGTCTCAAGTCACTGAGGCAGAAGGAAATAGCATCTAATAGAGCAAGAAATCAATTTCCAATGATTTATATGTCATAAATGAGACATCTATTTTTCTAAAAATTACCAAAAGAAAAAGCAAATTCACCTAAATGCCTTATAATTTAGGATTTGAAGATTGGGTAACAAAAAAATATTCAAGAAAAGAGAGTTATCAATCAATCTATAGTGGCACCCTTTACTCCCTTCATTATCTTTGTTATCCAGTCAACCAACACACATCCCAATCTATCCCAACCAAAGGTGTGGGCATGTGACTTCACTCTGGGTACTTCTATGCAAAAAAATTCCATTTTCTTAAAATATAGAAGACAATTTTATTAAGTAGATTTAAATATAATTCTAACACATATTACTACAAGCCGAAAACTGCATTTAAATTCAAAGCCTATTATTTGAAGTTTCAAAAACCTCATTCAGAATTAATGATTCAGAGAAGAAACAAATGAAAAAAAAAAAGCAACAAGGTCTTTCCACATGTGTATATGTATCTAAACTGGTATATATGTGAACATGGGTGTCAAAACTGCTATATATACACAAAACAGAGCACAGGAGAAACCTGATGAGTGGGAATTAAGAGAGATGGAAGCTTATCATTGTGTACCTTTTTATACGTTCTGAATTTTGAGGTATGAGAATGCAATTACCTATTCAAAAAGAAATTTAAATAAAGAAAGATAGAAAGAAAGCAAGCAGGTGGAGAAACTGGCCTCAACAGAATTAGAAGTAAATTGCCGTCATGAATGAGTCCAAGTGCATCCATATTTTGTCTTTTTAAAATTCACATTTAGATTATAATCTTATGAACTAAGACAGTATCTCCCAAAATTTCTTAATAGGAATCACCTGAGCCATTAAAAGCAGATTTTGGGGTATAATCTAGACCAACTGAATTAAGATTCCCCAGAAGACAATAAACTGTAGGAAAAGTACCCCCAGGTGATTCTTATTAGAGAAACCCCTTAACTAAGGAGTAAGGTTTGTTTCTGGAAAGAGCAACAACTTTGCAATTAGACAAACCTAGATTAATTTCTTGGCTCTTCTTTCATTTACCTATGTAATCCTGGATAAGCTTGATCTTTTTATGCTTCGCTATCCTTATGTATAAAATGGAGACAATATTTCCAGGGTTGTTATAAAGATTAATCTACGTAAAGGATGTGGGACATAATTTTTCTTAAATGCTTAATTTTACCTTTCTTAAAAAAAGATATCTGGCATACAGAAATCCAATAAATACTAACTTTCTTTCCTCTCATACTCAAATCATACAGATGTTGGGGTATGTGTCTCTAATTCAATAAAGTTGCTCCCTGGCTAGAGTGGCTCAGTGTCTCCCAAAATTTCTTAATAGGAATCACCTGAGTCATTAAAAGTAGATTTTGAGGTCTAATCTAGACCTACTGAATTAAGATTCAGTGAACCAAAGGGTTGCTGGTTCCATTCCCAGTCAGGACACATGTCTGGGTTGCAGGCCAGGTCCCCATTTGGGGGCACGCGAGAAGCAGCCACACATTGACGTTTTTCTCCCTCCCTGTTCCTCTATCTAAAAATAAATAAATAAAATCTAAAAAAAAAGAAATCCAATAAGTATTAATTTCCTTTCCTCTCATACTCAAATTATATAGATGCTAGAGTTATGTCTCTCTAATTTAACAAAGTTATTGCCCTGGCTGGTGTGGCTCAGTGGATTGAGTGCTGGCCTGAGAACCAAAGGGTTGCTGGTTAGATTCCCAGTCAGGGCACATGCCCTGGGTTGCAGACCAGGTACTCAGTCAGGGATGCTCCAGAGGCAACCACACATTGATGTTTCCCTCTCTTTCTCCCTCCCTTCCCCCATCTCTAAAAATGAATAAAATCTTTAAAAAATCTTTAAAAAATCTAAAAAAAAATAATAATTTAACAAAGTTGCTGTTGAAACAGGATTAATTACTTGTTAATCTTCTTAGATACATATATAATTTTTCTAGTCACTAAACTAAGAACCAACTTGCCAAAAAGCATTTACTAGTTCAATTTAGGTTTACTACTGACAAGTACAAGTATCACTCACTTGTTAAAGAAACTCCTATCCCAGAGGGGAGGGGGGAGAGAACAGTGGGGAGAAGGGTTTTTAGGAACTACTATAAAGGACACATGGACAAAACCAAGGGGGAGGGTGGAAGCAAGGGAGGGAGGTGGGATTGGCTGGAGTGGGAGGAAAATGCAGACAACTGTAATTGAACAACGGTAAAGTAATTAAAAATATATATATAAAAGAAACTCCTATCCAAATGAAAAGATGTTACTTTTTACACTTTTACAAAATGAATAAAAAATACTACAGTTTAGTTTTCTTGCATACTAGTTTGCCTTAATCTAAAGTATAGCTTCCTTTAAAAAAAACTCTAAAAAAAAATCTTCTAATAGTTGTAAAAATCCTCTAATAGTTGTACCTCTGTTATGTTCCTCTCTCGTAATGAAGCCAACTCATATGGATCCACAAAAAGTCCTGTTGGGATGTACTGTTTAATTAAGAGTCGGCAGGTCTGTAAGTCCTCGATGCTTTCTCCAAATTTCACTTTTATTAAAAGGTCTCTGTAAGACAAATATGTTTAAAGTAAATCTCTTCATTCAATTGTTAATGAGATAGCATAATACTACATTCAAATGAGTAGAAACACTATATTTCAAAGATTATAAAGTCAAATGAAATATTTAATATAATGTCAGAACCACCCATTAGATCAGAGATGTCAAACTCATTTTCACCAGGGGCCACATCAGCCTAGCAGTTGCTTTCAAAGGGCAGAATGTAATTTTAGAACTGTGTAAATGTAACTACTCCTAAACTAAGGGCAAGGAGTTCGGCGCTACCGCCAGGTAGAAACAAGGTGCTGGGCCAGGTAAAACAAGGTGGAGGGCTGGATTCGGCCAGTGGGCTTTATGTTTGCCACCTGTGTATTAGATCTTTCATATATTTATGTCATAAGCCACAGTATTATATTAGTGCAACAATTTTCAACCAGTGTGCCACAAGAGGGACACTGCTGTGCTGAAAGAATTTTTAAAACATGCAATACCTGACATTTTTTTAGTCAAGGACACTGACCTCTTTTCCCTTAGTGTCAAATAAAAAAACAGCCAACACAACAATAGCCATCCAATGTGAATAAATAAAAATTATACCTATTTTTTGGTGTGCTACAGAATTTTGGTAATTAGTTTATATGTGCCATGAAATGAAAAAGGTTGAAAATCACTGTATTAGTGTGAAATCAGACAAAAGTCAATAGAAAGAGACAGAGTCCAAAAATGGTCAAACACATATTATCTTCCTTTAGAAAAAATTTTTTTTACTTATTTATTTTTAGAGGGAAAGGAAGGGAAAGAGAAAGAGGGGGAGAGAAACATCAATGTGAGGGAGAAACACTGATTGGTTGCCTCTCAAATGTGCCCTGACCAGGGACTGAACCTGCAACCAAAGCATGTGCCCTGACTGGGAATCAAACTGGTGACCTTTTGCTTCATGGGATGATGCCCAACCAACTAAGCCATTCTAGTCAGGGCTAGACACACACATTTTCAATAACAGTGCCAATATAATTTGACGGGGAAAAGATAGTCTTTTCAAAAAACAACACTGAGTGGGGAGGGTTGGGAGGGTGGGCTGGATTGGGAGTAAAAGGAGAAAACTGTACTTGAACAATGATTAAAATAAAATTAAACAAACAAAAAAACCCAACATTGAAACAACTGGATATCTATATAGCAAAAAATAAACCTTGACCTACACCTCATACTATATACAAAAATTAATTTGAAATAAACTATAAACCTAAACATATAATTGTCCTAATTTTCTGTCTGGAGGCACATTTGGACCAAATGCAGGAAATGAGATCCAAAGCACACCATGACAATTTTGCTTAAGTGAGAAAATAGATGTAAAAGTTAGGGAAAGCTGAAATGGCTGGAAGTCATAACACTAAGATCCAGAGAGGAGGAAACTATGTAGGAAGAGCTTAGAAATATGAACTGGGGAGTCCCCTTGAGTTTTTGTGGAATATTAAAATATGCATGAGTAAGGTGTGACTCAACAAGATGGGCAAAGGATGATCAGGGAACTGAAAGATGAGAAATTCTAAAATTTCACACAAGGTAGGGAGATATTTCCATTCCAACCAACCAAAGCAAAGAAATCCCAACGGGGATCCCAATCAAAGCTTTCACTTGAAATCCCAAAGGGTAAAGCCTTAGTAGCTAAATTAGCCTTGCAGTAATGAAGGGCCATTTGTAACTTTAGACCCATACAAAAAAAAATGGTTAAAAGGATCAAGTTTATAAATAAGTAACTTAAAACTGCTAACAGCCCTGGCTGGTGTGGCTCAGTTGGTTGGGCATCGTTCCACAAAGCAAAGGGCTGCTGCTGGTTCGATTCCTGGCTGGAGTACATGCCTGGGTTGTGGGTTCAGTTCCCAGTCAGGGTATGTATGAGAAGCAACTCATCTACAATTCTCTCTCACATCAATGTTTCTTCCCCTCTCTTTCTCCCTCCCTTCCCTTCTCTCTAAAAATAAATGAATAAAATCTTTAAAATAATACCTTAAGAAAAACTGCTAATGAAACTGCTAACTCCTTTAAAAGATAAAATCCACACACTGAAAAACATTTATATCTACAATATTCAGTATCTAATTAAAAGTTACTAAATATGCTAAGAAGCAAAGAAATGAGACCAATAATGAAGAAAAAAATCATTCAAAGAAAGAGAAGTAGAAGTAACAGTGATAAAATTAGCAGAGGACATTAAGTCATTATAAATATTCCTAACATGTTAACATGTCAGGGATTTAAAGAAAAACATGAACATTATAATGGAAAGTGAAGAAATATATATAGAACTAAATGCAACTTTGAGAGATGAAAAAGACAATTTCTGAAATAAAATCTATCCAGATATGATTAAAAGCAATTAGACACTGCAAAAGAAAAGATCAGTGTCTTGGAGGTACAATAACAGAAGCTATACAAACTGAAGCATTCTGAGCAAAGAAGAATGGGAGTGGGAGAAACCGTTTCAGAGATCTTTCAACAATCTCAAGTAGAGAATATCAAAAGAGGCAAAGAGAGAGAGAGACAGAAAAAAAGTACGTAACAGAAAGAAAATCTGAAAATGATATAATGGCTGAAAATTTTCTGATTTTCATGAAAACTCTAAGTTAATAAATCCAAAAAGCTCAACAAATACCAAGCAGAATAAACACACACAAAAAAATACCCCATACTAAGACATATTATCATCCAGTCACTGAAAAAAAATTTGTTTAAGCAATCAGAGAAAAAAGGAACATTATGTATAGAGTAACAAACATAAGAACACACCAGAGGACAATGGAAAAATGTATGTAAAGTACTAAAAGAAAAAAAGCTGTCAGTTTAGGATTATATATCCAGGAGGTAAATCCTTCAAAAATAAAGATTAAGACAAACACAAACTAACAGAATATGTCACTGCAATAAATAATAAAGGAAGTTCTTCAAGCAGAACAAGGAAATCAGATGGAAACTTGAATCTACAAGAAAGACAGAAGAGCAAATGGTAATGTGTGGGTGGACATAAAAACATTTTTCTCACTTTTAATTTCTTTAACATATGATTGATAGAGAAACTGGAACCCTTGTGCATTGTTGATGGCAATGTGAAATGGTGCAGCCACTACTGAAAACAATATGACAATTCCACAAAAAAATTAATATAAATGAAACTTGAGGACATTAAGCTATGTTCGATAATCCAATCACAAGTACTGTACAATTCCACCTATATGGGGTACCTAGAATAGTCAAATTCATAGAGATAGAAAATACAATGGTGGTAGCCAGAGGCTGGGAAAAGGGGGGAATAGAAAGTTGATGTTTAAGAGGTATAGAGTGTCAGTTTTGCAAGGTGAAGAGTTCTGTGGATGGATGGTGGTGATGGTAACACAATAGTGTAAATGTTCCTAATTCCACTGAAGTGTACAATTTTAAAAGTTTAAGATGGTATATTTTATATTATGGATATTTACCAGAATTAAAATAAATAATAATGTAATATGACTTTTCAAAACAAAAATAATAACAATATATGATGGGGTTTACAACATAAGTAAAATATAAAGTTAACAAATGTATGTCAACAATAGCATAAAGAAAAGGAGAAGGAAATGAACTATTCTGATGAAAGATTCATACACTATTCATGGTGTAAAATAATACTATTTGAAAGTAGACTGTGGTAAGTTAAAATTGTATACTGTAGACCCTAAAGCAACGAACTAAAAAAAAAAACAAATACAGTTAGTAAGCCAAAAATGGAGATAAAATGACATGCTTAAAAAATACTTAGTTCATCCAAAATAAGGCAAAAATAAAAGACCATATGGGCGGAATAGAAAATAAGTACCAGATGGATGAGTTTCAGTCAACCCAAACAAACCAATATTTACTAAAAGTAAATGGTCTGATCACTCCAATTAGAATGTAGAGATTGACAGACTGGATAAAATAGCAAAGTTTAATTCAATGTCCTATTGGAGATCCTAGCCAGGTAAAAAGGGGAATAAAAAGATATAAAAAGTATACAGATTGTCTTTATTCACAAACCCATGATCATCTATGTAGAACAGCCCAAGCAGTCTACAAAAAGGCCATAGGCATTGATAAGTGATTTCATAAGGAATCGGGGTTCCATAACACCATATGAAAATCAATTATAGTTCTATTATTGGCAACAAACAAGTAGAAATGAAAATTTTACTTCAAAAAATATGAAATATTTAGGGATACATTTAACAAAATATGTGTAAGACATAGACTCTGAAAGTTACAATATTGTTAAGATTAAACTGATAAAACCTAAGTAAATGAAGATGCCATATTCATGCATTAGAACACTCAATGTTCACAATCAGTTCTCTACAAACTGATCTAGAGTTTCAACAGAATCCCAAACAAAATTTCACAAGGCTTTTTTGATGAAATCTACAAGTTAATTCCAAAAGTTATATGGAAATGCTCCAGCATTTCTCTGATCTACCTATCTAGTAGCTCTATAAAGAAAATAAGTTTTTAATAAATCTGTGCTAATTCCCAGAGACCTCCACTTCTTCCTGTATATACAAACCATTCTTTTAATAATCTGGCCTGGAATTTTGCCCAGAACCTACATCAACTAACTCCCAGATTATCCAAAGATTACAAACATAAATTCAGCAATAATTTAAGCAAGTTCTCCCACTGAAATGAGATACAGTTCATCAGAGAGGGGAGACCCTACAGTCTTTTGTAGCCCTAAGGCCCTATTGTATACTTCCCTTACACATTCTGCACTTCAGTTTCCTACTACCAATGTTTGCTTGACCCTTTCCAAAGTGGAATTTTCCTTGATTAAGAAGCTAGAAATAAGAGGACCTATCAAATTTTACTTTCTTTAATTTGTTAATGTTTCCTCATCCACCCTAGCAGCAAGACTATACATGCTCTACACATAATTAAAAAGCCCCTTTTAAAGCAATGATTACTGGCATATTCTGAAGGTCTCAAATAATAGATTTCTAGTTTCTGAAGATATTCTTGTAGGTTCTGTCTCTCTTCATATTTGGTTTTATGTAGTGCTTTTTATCTGCAATATTTACAACTGAACAGCTACTTCTGCCCTCACAACAGCCTCTCCAGGCACTTATTTCTTCCTTATTAGAATTATTTATGAGTATACTGTCATCTTTATAATATTTATTATCTCCCAATCCTCTTGAGAATACATCCCAATGATTTTAAAGAGAGAAGCTATACACTTGGCACAATTACCTTGGCATTATATAAAATGTGCAAGGAACTCCGTCAAAAAACTCCTTTCAGAAGCAACTGCCCTCCCAAAGTCAGTTTTATTACTTTATAGTCATACCTCCTTTTTGACTGAAACTGTACTTCCCTGCTTGATCACTTGTCTCAGTATTAATAATAATACCTAACCTTTTCTAGGTATGTACTATGTAACAAGCACCATATTAAAGGGCTTTCCATATACTCTCTGATTTAGTTCTCACAACCCTAATGAGGAACTACTATCATTATTCAGTGTTACTGATAAGGTAGTAAAACTTAAGTAACTTGATTAATACCATGCAGATACTAAATAATAGAGCTAATTTTTGAGCCCAAATCTGAGTTAAAAAGAAAACAACAAAAAACAACCCCGCCCCCAAGTTCTTTCTATGATACCTCCTAGTCATTCACATGTAGGCCAACTTTGAAGAGGAGAGTAAGATATTTTAGTTTAAGGTGACTTATAAATGAAGCGATTTTAAAAATAAATATTATCAGGCCCTGGCTGGGTGGCTCAGTTGGTTGTTGCATCATCCCCTATACCAAAAGGCTGCAGGTTCAATCCCTGGTATAGGAGGCAACCAAGTGATGTTTCTCTCTCATGTCAATGTTTCTCTTTCTCTCCACACATCCCCATCTGCCCCCTGAATTCTTTCTCCCTAAAATCAATATAAACATATCCTTGGGTGAGAATTAATAAACAAATAAATAAATACATGCATCAGAATTTTTAAATCAAATACCTGAGAATCATTTCAAAGTAATCACCTTGAGAAGCTTTAAAGTTGGGAAATTTTCTTATGGAGCAGTTTCTACAACTTTTTATCAGTCTTTTAAATATCTTCAATACTGGTAAATACTAATTTTTGAGGATAATTTGTGTTTTAGAAACAGCTTGGTCATTTGGAACCAAGTCTTGAAAATCACAAATAGTGACTTAGGGTGGCATAATATCTTAGCACTACTTGTGAACATAGCTTTGGAGCATGGCAGTCCTAAATTGGAGCCAGATCTGGCTCTACCACCCTACCCACTACTACCAAATGATTTAAATTCTGAGCCCTAGTTACTTCATCTGAAAAATTAGAAAGGTATCATCCATCTCACAACCATTGCAAAGATTAAACAGGATATTGTATCTATTACTTCTAACTATATGGTAAATAATAAACATATTTTCTTTTCCACTGTTATTTTAATTATTATTTCAAACTGTAACCATATATAATAAATCTGTCACTTATAACTGGAAAAAAGCAAGTGATTTTCTTTCAGTTCATCCATTTTTCAACTACTGATTTTTTTGCTCTAAATTATATGAAACAGTACTTTGATGCAAGTATAAAAGTCAGTAGGCAATTTACCTGTGGAAACCATCTTTCAGAACTTCTTGTCGCAAAATAATTTCAGAGCAAGTAGGCCTTATGCCTATAAGAACCAAAAGAGTTTTTTGTTTAAATAAAACAAACACTCAAAGAAAGAATACTTAAATACTTAGAAAATAATTGTTTTAATAAGTCTTTACTTGAATGAAAAATATAACCAACCTCAAAATAAAACAAAAACTTTTAAAACTTAAACTGAACTACATATTAATCTACTTCTAGTATATATAGCATGGGGGTTAGGAACATTGACTTTGGAGTTATTACCTATCTTCAAATCCTAGTCTGTCATTTAATAGCTGTGTGACTTTGGGCAAGATAGTTCATTGCTCTGTGCTAGTTGTCATGAGAAAATATATGTAGGACTTAGAACAGGTCTAACCACATAGTGTTATATGTGAGTATTTGTTATTAATATTACTTTGTTCAGATGATCCCAGGACACCAAAAAGAACAGAATGGCTAAAAAAGAGCCAGCAAATCTCAGTTTTAATTCTAGCTCACTGAAACTGTGTTTTAGATTCATACTGGCAACTTCTGTATTCTACCATCTACACCTATAAAACTGAAAAGACAGCATATTATGCCTTTTGGAGATGTTGGGAGGGTTTGAAAAAAAACAAAAACAAAAACTGGAGTTTTTTCAAAGGGTTCCCCTATAAACTTAGAATAACCAGAAATCTCACTATACAGACTTCATGCAGATTTCAGACATTAAAACTATTACTTAATATCAGCATCATACAATTAAAAATTCAATTACTGGTTATCAGATCACCAGCTCTGCCAGGCATCTTGCTACATAATTTTATTCCATTTTCAAAAGCTGGCAGTGTACAGAAAGAACATTAAAACAAACACACTGAAAACCATATTGTATGCTATATTGCTAGGTCCATTAGATATATTCCTGAAAATACACATGTAAAAAAGTGACATGGAGATGAAAACATCTGAACTATACAAGGGAAGGAAGGGAAAAACTATGGAAAAATAACATTTCTTAAATAATATTTATATGACAGATACTCTACTTGGGGCTTTCACATGAGTTTTAACTTTCACAATCTAGCAAAATAGGCAGACAAAATTATTGCCATTTGTACAAAGGAGGCTTATAAACAGTTACTAACTGGCTCTGGGTCTTACAAATAAATGACTGATTGAACGCCAGATTTGCCTGACATTTAAAGCCTCAGATATTTCCACTTTCCTAGCTATTTAAAGAAAGCCTCATTTACTACAAACAAATAACTTAGGGTACCTCTTGTACAAATCCAGACGTTTCTTCATCATGTTTAATACTAAGGGGGGTGGGGTAGGGAATAAGAGTTTTTAGATACCAATATATTAAATTAGAAAAAATGTCAGATTAAAGGTTTAAATTGGAATATACACTGGAGAGTAGTAAATCACATTCATCTGGAGATGGTAGGAAGGCTAATTTATAAACAATATAACAAATACTAGACAATTTATGATTTTTAAGGCAAAAGTACCATTTTCAAAATGAATTTTTTGCATCTGAACTCACCTTATATATTTTTTCACTTAAGTATTACTTTATTTGGTTATTGTGGTCTGTTTATACTCCCTCTGGAAATTGACCCGTTTTAAATCATGAAATGCCAGTGTGGGAACAGTCTAGAAAGATATTACCAAGTCCAATGGTTTAAAAAAATTTTTTGGCCTCAAAATCTTGTCTTCAAATAAATTTTGAAGCATAACATGTAAACATACAAAAGCAAAACTGAATTGATTGACAGATACTAGTCGAATATGCTCATTTTCCAGATGGAGAAACTCACATGGGTTTTTGGACTTTCTTTTCCTTAGCAAAGTCGTAATTTATCTAATTATCACTGCAGGAATCTGTCTACCCCGCCACAATGAAAGCTCCAGGAGGGCTGGAACCACAACTAGTACAGCACTCCAGCCCACGTACTGGGGCCCAAAGAAATCAATCATTCGCTTGCTTAGACAGGAATGATAAAGAAACCCTAGCCCAAAAGTAGAGTGTAAGCAATGGAGTAGCTAGAGAACTTCCACGCATGACCGGTGGACATGGACAATGGGGTGGGGAGATTGCCTGAAGGAGTAAGGGGTGCTGGGTGGAGGGGGAAAGGGGGAAAAACTGGGACAGCAAAATCAATAAAATGTAATTTAAAAAATAAATAATAAACACCTGGGATGAGTGAAAAATTTTTTAAAAATGTTTGTAAGATAGTCTTCTTTCCACTCCCCCAGTCTCTGTATTCTGGATTGGGATTCTCACACCTCACAGGGCACAGAGGCCTCGCTGGCCCTTCCGTGATAAGAAGCTTCATGCATCCCAAGACGCTTCAAGGCTGTACTTCCTTCACAATATTTTAGTAACAGAGTGGCCAGTCCTGCCTCTGAACAACAGAGCCCGACTCTCCAGAGTCCACAGAGCTGTGCGGGGCGGGTGGAGTGACACAGAAGAGGAGATACGTGGATTTTGTTTTTAACCTCTTCCAGCTCACCACACAGTCCTAGGGTCGCGCGCCGGTTACAGCGACTAACCTTTGCAAACTACCTTTGCAAACCGCTTCAGGAAGAGGACTCTGGAGTCCGAGCTGCGGCCCACCCCCTTGGCCCTCAAATCCCGCCACCATTTTCGCAGACAAGCCCTTCCCTTTACCTGCGTAGGTAGGTGCGGCTTTGAGGGCGGTAGCTGCTGTGCCGGTAAGCCCAGCCAACTCCCAGAGTAGCCAGGCCACCACTCGGACGACCGCGACGAAGGCAGGGGAAGCCAGGACGCCGAAGAATGTGCGCTGGAGAGGAGCGCACCTGGGTGCAATGAGGACGGAGGAGCCTGCATACGCTTCACGCTGCTCCTAGAGCGCGCTGCCCAGCAGTTAGAGACTGGGACGGAAGCCTACGTGCGCGTAAGCCTTTGGTCCTCGCACGCTTTCGGTCCCCCAGTTCCCAGCCACTACTCCTCGCAGCCCGGGTGCCCGAAGCTTGTGGCCTCTCCACCAGCGGCAGTCCCTGACTCAGGGTACGTCCCTAGATGCCCCGCCCCTGGCTGTTCCGGTTGAGGGCGGGGCAAGGAGAGGCGCAAGCGCCTTTGAGTGCACCGGGGCTGTTTCTGTGGGAACCGTTTCCTGGGCTCGGAGCCCGAACGTGACCTGGGCACGCTGGCTTGGGAGGGCGCTCGCCTAGTTGTAGTCCTTGACCTCCACTTCCAGGTATTTGTGGATTCGGGGCACCTGCCGGGGAGTTTTACCCCACAGCCACGTCTGCAGGACCCTGGTTGTTGCCTCTTCCTGCAGTGCCAGACTCCGCCGGGTGTCAAAGTCGAGTCAAGTGCTTCTCAGTGCACTGCAGGTGGATGGAAACAACCCCCTCACGGAGTTTTTAGACGATGTCCTGCCGGAGAGGATGCATTTTCTGTACTTCTCCAAGGGTAAGAAAAAGTCTTTCACTGATAGAGACGTGAGTAGGGAGAGGATTGTCTGTCTACGCGTTGGCAAAATCCGTACACTGTGGGGGATGCTTGGCTAGATTCTGGCAGTCACTGATCCCTGGGGTGGGGGTGCGGGGGAAGGGGAGAGTATTAGTGTCTAGGAAAAAGCATTCGTCTGTCTTCATGAATTGAGTTGAATCTGTAAGTAGGCCGAAAGAGTGTCCATTGCAGGTTAGAACAGAACAGAGGGCTGTAGGACGAATGTCTCAAAGAGGAAAGATGTCAGAAGATAAAAACTGAAAATAGCAGAATAAGCATGTTATGATGAACTATAGAGATAAATTTTGGAAGAAACTCTTGAAAAAATTGAAACTGGTTGTCCATAGAGAGGGGAAAGCAGGGGACAGTAGATTTATTATAGGTCTCAGACTTACTTTACATTTTAGACAATACAAACATTAGTAAAAATGAAAGTTAAATTAAAAAATATAAAAACGTCTATAGTCAAAATTACATTATTGAGTATCAATTGTATACATTCTTCATCAGGACAGCCATTTGCTTGAGTGTGTGGAATTTGTGCTCAGTGGAATCTCCTAGAAAATGTGCTAATGTACCAGATTTTAGTGAGATGAACTGGGATTAGTATTTGTTTAAAAAAAATAGGAAGAAAGAGGGGGTGGAGTGGGATCATTGCATTAGATCAGGGGCAAAGCACAGAAATTTGAAGAAGCATTTTTTGTACATGTTATTAATTTTCTAAGTACAAAATTCTCACATCCAACAATACAGGGTGAATAATAGACATTTTGGTATATCCATAGGAAATTCAGCAGTCATATAAATATTCACATTTTAGTGGAACTTAATGACAAAATTACATAGACTGTTAAATTTGAAAGGTTCTTTAAATTTAATAGTATGTGTAACATAAAAGACCATACTATAGTTAAAAAAATAAAACTTTGTCTAGAAAAAAGGCTGGAAGGAATCAAGGGTGCTTATTTTATGTTTCCTCCACTTCCTGTTGATGTGGACTCCAGACTGTGGGGTCTGTGTGTTGTGGCTGGGATGAACAAATTCACACGAACTACAGAAGTTCTGTGGAGAAAAAGGACAGGACAGCCACTCTCTGAGAGGAGGGCCCCGACCCTTGCCTGCACAAGGCTTTTATTGCTTTTCTGGGAATTATATACATTGAGGATGGTCCTCATTTCCTATGCACAGGTTTGCTTTAGGTGGTTACCTTTTACAGATAACACAGGAAAGGATGTCGTCAATTACTTCAAAAGGATGTTTCAGATTCAAAGGGGAAACATGGTTGACCTGGTTACACTCCATCCTTGGGAGGTTTAGCATAGATTTTAGGAAGTTATTTTAAAGATATGCAGTAAACATTTGCTGCCTCAATTCAGGATGAGGGAGTTTTAGCAAAAAGTGAGCCTCATAGCAGCCTAGGTACAATGCAGGCCTGACAATGCAATTCCCTATCGGAAAACCTATCCATGGGCTCGGTTCCTGTGTGCTGACTTGCTCCCCACCAGTTTTCCAAATTGGGCTGGGTTACATTCACCATGTCATGTGGATAGGTTCCCTATACCCCATCCCCTCCAGTTTTCTACAGTGAACATGTATTAAATAACTATGTTCCTATAGTGATTCACAGACAGAACTGAGTATATGGTTACCCTATGCTGCTTTACTTCTAGGTTCCTTGATATTTGCAAATTTTCCTGGGAATAATGTAGTCACATCTAAAATAGTCCCTATAATTAAGTATACTTTGGCATTGGGGGCAGGGGAGGGAAAAGGGAATAGAAAGTATTAACCTACAAAATAGTTGTATTTCTTGTCATTGAAAAAAAAATCATATAATGAGACAAATAGGTTGAACTAAAAGTCATGTAAACTTTATTGCCATGTATATGTATAGGCTGATTCTGCATTGGGTCTGCCTTTTTGATCATACAGACTGTAAAAACTTACAGGATGTACAGGGGCGGTCTTATTTTAATATATTGAATTAACTATGTACAGAATGCCTACTATATTCCAAGTATTGCACTGTGATATTGTGGTAAACAGTGGATATAATCCCTGCCCTCTTGGAGCATATAGAACAGAAGGGAAGAAAAATGATTAAATAAGCAATTACAGCCCTGACTGGTGTGGCTCAGTGGGTTGGGCATTGTCCTGCAAAGGGAAAGGTGGCTGGTTTGATTCTTGTAAGGGCACCAGCCTGGTTTACAGAAAAGGTCCCTGGTTGCGGGCATGTGAGACGTAACCCATCAATGTTTCTTTCGGACATTGATGTTTTTCTCCCTTCCTCCCTTCCCCTCTTTCTAAAAATAAATAAATAAATAAAATCTTTTAAAAAATAAGTAATTTCAAAAACTCCATGAGTACAATGATTGGGAAAGTACAAAGTGAACAGATTTGGTCTGGTGAACCCCTCCAGGCATAATGTTTAAGATTATAGAGCATGCTTGTATATACTTGTTTAACTGGTAAATAAAAAAGATCCTGTAAGTCAGTTCTTGGGCTGACTCATGGGTTCATACACAAACTTTGGTTAAGAGTACAGTACACTAAGAAATCAAAACTGAACTGCGTTTCTAAGCTCATGTGTGACTATAGCTACAGCCCTCAATGAATCAGGGATCCAACAGACTAAGGCTAACAAAGGGCCAAACTGAACTTTTAGGATAACTCTTGAAATATTGGGCTTGATAGGCTGATCATGCATCTCTAGAACTGATGTAGATCTGAACCAGAGCCAGATATGCTGGGGAGGAGAGGTGGGGAGGAGTGTGATTTATCCAACACTTTTGGTAATTTTTTTTCTTTTTTGTAGGAAGTCATTATGTGATTAACACATCTTCATCAGATTTCCTCTGATTTACCCTGAAGTGTATGTGAGAATGATGTGCACTGCCAAGAAATGTGGAGTTAGATTCCAGCCTCCAGCTATTATCTTAATCTATGAGAATGAAATGAAGGGGAAAAGTCGCCAGCGCATTATGCCTGTACGAAACTTTTCAAAGTTTTCAGGTACCTCATATTTTATCGCACCTCCTATCTTAAATATTCTCTAAATCACTTAATAAGAATGATTTGAGTCTTATGGTGTGACATGGCATTCAGAGTTAAACAGACGTCTTAGGTTACCAAAATAAAAAATACATCCCTCCTTTCTCTACCACACTCAAAACTCAATATAAAAGAATAGTTCTGCAGAATAAGTTGTTCTCAAAAAAGCCACTTTGCTACTTGGCTATAATGGCAGATAATGATGTCAGTAGTGTGCGGTGCACCAATAGTTTGTGGTGTATAGGTTCTGTGTGGTATATAGTTTTGTTTCTCTCCTAGATTGCAACAGAGCTGCTGAACAATTAAAGAATAATCCACGACACAAGAGTTACTTGGAACAGGTGTCCTTGAGACAGCTAGAGAAGTTATTCGTTTTTTTACGAGGTTACTTGTTGGGACAGAGTTTGGCAGAAACAATGGAACAAATTCGACGGGAAACAACTATTGATCCTGAGGAAGACCTGAACAAACTAGATGACAAGGAACTTGCTAAAAGGAAGAGCATCATGGATGAACTTTTTGAGAAAAATCAGAAGAAGAAGGATGATCCAAATTTTGTTTATGACATCGAAGTTGAGTTTCCACAGGATGAACTGCAGTCTTGTGGCTGGGACACAGAGTCAGCAGATGAGTTCTGATCCCCAAAACAAACATTTATTGGGTAACAGAAACTCCATGTTTATACAGAGAATAGAGATTAGTTCTAGAAAATTCTGTAAAGAACACTAAATGTACATGTTGGATCATATTTGGATTGACCATGTGACTTTTCAAAACCAAGACATGTAGAAAATCTACTATGTAGGTGCATGAGGAATATAGAAAAAACAGAACATAGGAATCTGACTTTAAGGAGCTTACAATCTAATTGGAAGATATGTCAAAAACTTGTGAAAAGCTAATGAACAGTATTAGGCAGCAAAAATATTAAAGCCAAATGATTGATAAAGATGAAAAAGGGTCACAGCCTAGATTACTGTAGAGCAGAATAGTCAGGGAAGACTTGGTCCTTTAGTGGCAAGATGGGACTTTGGCCCTTGAAGTGGTAGTACTTGAATAGAAGCTTGTATAGGATTCCAGATGAGAGAAATTGGGAGGAAAAAGAGGGGAAGGGTACAGTAAGCAAATTATAATTTTATTAAATTATATCAGATAATTTTATCAGATTAGAGGGTGTGTATGGTTACAAGGGGATTATCCTGTATATATTATGTCTTTATATACATTTAACTCTGTTTTACAAGTATTTAATTCTGGAGTAGAAGAGCAAGTCCATGTCCTTTGATGGACAGCAGGGGGATTCTGCCCTTCTGGTATCAGGAAATATAAACCAAAGACATTCTGAAACCCTGAACCTCTTCCCGTAAGTAAGAGGTTTCTTTATAAAATGGGAACTCTACCCATAATAAATGAACAATAAGTCCTGCCAGTTTGGACCTGTTCCTGAATTTGCATGTACAAAGAAGATTTTTGTTGAACAAGGTTATATGTGTATAGATCTTTCTTTCTATATTATTATTTGATCAGTAGAAATCCTGCATTTTCTGCAAGGAAATTAATACTAAATAAAGCTGGAAAAATTAGTCATTCTTTGTCTGTTTCTACTCTCTTTACCATTATAAGCCCCCACTAAAGGGATCATTCTTATAGTGACACCACCAGGGACTTAAGATGGTCATGACTCATGTATATTTGCCAAAGGTGGCAAAAGAATTTTCAGAATTGGAGATTCCTTTATATCTGCATAATATTTTAGTTTATAGATATAGATGATATATTTTAAAGTTGACTTTAGATTGTTTTCTCCTTTCACTGTTACAAACAATGCAAATAACCTTGTACATTCTCTATTTTGCATGTGTACATGACTATAAATAATGCATAGAGGGGAATTGTTGGATATGTGCATTCTAAATTTTCATAGATATTGCTAAATTTTCTTCCAGAGAGTTAGTTTCTTTCTTTCTTCCTTTCTTCCTTTCTTTCCGTGCTTTGTACCGTATAAGTACCTACTATGTGCTGAGCATGTACTGTTCTAGAGTCTGGGGATGCAGCAGTATATACAACAAAGTCCTTGCCTTTATATAAGGTTTACAGTCTAGTTGGAAAGGGAACAGTAAACAAGTTATGTCCTATGATAAGTAGTCAGAGGGGATGGAAGCCACTGGTTTTGATACAGTTGATCAGAGAAGGTCTCATTGAAGAGGTAACATTTGAGCAAAGGCCTGAAGCAAGTAGGGAAAAAATATGCATTTCAGGGGTAGTGGAGAAAGGTAAGTGCATAGGTCTCAGGGTAGTGTGCTTGGCATAGTTGAGGGACAGCAAGGAGGGCGATGTGGCTCATACAGATGAAGCGAGAGAAAATGGTAGGAGATGCGGTTGGAGCACATGAAGGTCTGTCTGAAAAAAGTGCAACCATTGTTTATGTAGCGAGAACAGTTTGTACAACAGCAATGTAACCTGGCAGCCAAGGAGAGTGGACTGGAATGTGCATGTGTGAACAATGACAACTTCACTGTACTAGTCAGTGGGGGTGGTAGATGCTGTTGAGTGAGCATGTGTACTGTGTGGCCATCACATTCAAAATGACTGAGTGAGTAGAGCAACGAATCTGTATCAAATTTTGTGTTAAGCTTGAACAGTCCTCCATGGAAACTATTCAGATGATTCAGAAGGCTTTCTGCAACAATACAATGAGTGCAGCGCATATTAAAGTGTGGCACAATGCTTCAGATGATCGAGAATCTGTTGAAAGTGACCCATATTCTGGAAGGCCTGCAATAAGCAGAACTCTTGAGAAGGTTGAATGCTTATGGGCTGCAATCAACAAAGATCAGAGAACTGTGTGAGGTCCCAAGGTGCCTACTTTGGAGGCAACTGAGACGTTATTGTCCTGGGTACAATGTTTCTTGTATCTGGTATCTTCTTCAATAAATATCTCTATTTTTCATATTACATAGCTGGATAGTTTCTGGACAAACCTCATATTTTACCAATGGGCAGCACTTACCATAAAGGTTGTACCAACTTAAATATCAGCAATACATGAGAGTACCTGTTTTCCCCACATGCTTATCAATAGAATGTTAACAAACTTGTTGATCTGTGCCAACTTTATCATTTAAAAAATAGTATTTCATAGTTTTAATTTGCATCTCTTATTATAAGTGACACTAAGTATAAGATCTATTTTTAATGAAATAACTTATGTCCTTTGCTCATTTTTCTTTTGGGTTACTGGTCTTTGTCTTACTGATTTGTAATAAGTTCTTTATTAAGGAAAATAGTTCTTGGTCTGTGATTTGAGTTGCAGATATTTTCACCTTGTCATTTGTTTTGACTTTGTTCATATTTTTTCCAGGCTGATGTTTTTCAAGTTGAATTGATCAATATTTTTCTCTATACTACTGCATTTTGTGTCATATATAGAGAAGCATTCCTCATTCCAAGATTTTTTTTAAGCCCACGATTTTTTCTATACAGGAATATATTTTGGTTTTAGATGTGAGATGTGACCCCAACTTTACTTTTTTTCAGATGCCCATCGAATACCACTGTCTATTGAATTACCTATCTTCCCCACCTTGATTTGAAATGCATTCTTTTCCATATACTAAATTCCCATATATATCAAAATAGTTATCTTTTGATTATGTTAATGTCACCTGCAGCACACTTCCCAATCCATGTTTTTTTGACTAAATTAAATATATAGGAAGATACAAAATGTGCCATAATTTTTGCCTTTGAGATGTTTAAACAAAGTTTAGCTAAAGCCACAAAACTAGCATATATGACGTAGAGGTACTGCTACATACAGGTAAAGCAGAAGGGGGAAATCATGAGAGCCAAGCAGTTGTGGGTGTTTTCTGCCATGTATGTTATTCAAAGCTTATTATTCTGCTGATATCTTTTACATTTTTTCCACTAGAAAATTAATACATGTTCAATGTTAATTATTTTAAAAGTTTAGGCAAATACCAGTGTAAAAGTGAAATGGGAAAATTCCCCTTCAACTCAATTCTCACTCTGCACAGAAATTGCCTTTCCTAGAGGACTCGGGGTTCCATCTCCTCTTGTGACCCTGCTTTATCATTCTCTTACTCTGACCCTGTCTTTCTCACTTCAGCTTCATTTCCTGCTGACTCATCCTCTGCAATCTATAAATATATGTAAGACCCTGCTGTATTAAGTAAATACTTGAAATCACCTTGTCTTTTCCTACCTAATTCTGTATCTAATCAAATTTTATCTCATTGTTAGATGTATCTGCTTCCCCTGACCCTTGCTCCTTCCACTCACCTATCCTTTAGAGCAGATCTAGAAATGCATTCTTAGCCCGTGAAGCTCAGTACTTCAAGAGCTGCCCTGAAAGTTCAGTTTGGCCACAGGTTATCCTGAGTCTTTTGGGTACCTAAGAATCTCTAGTTCATTGAGGGATATAGGTTTGGTCACATGTGAACCTGAAAATGGAATTCAGTTTGGACCTCTTAGTGTACTATACCCTTAACTAAAGATTGTATATGAATCCCTGGGTCAGCCCAAGAATTAACCTGAAGGGTCTTTTCTATTTACCAATTAAGCATGTATGTATCAAGCACTCTCATATCAAGGTACTGTAAGTGATTACGTTAAATATGTCCTGGGACTGATTTGTCTCCCTTGTATTTTTGCAATTATTTTACTTGTCAAGTTCATTGTAATTATTTAAATACCTATCTAGTATTTTGACAATAGTAGTGGATGAAAATTGAGGAAAGGGGGTTCCAAGCAAGATGGAGGTTGTAGGTAGAAACCTTTTTCTTCCTTGTACAACCAAAAGGAGAATAACAACCAATCTAAAATCAATAAACAACCAGAAGTACCAGAAAATCAAACTGTATGGAACTCTGACAACCACAGAATCAAAGAAACAGTCAAAGAGAACAACCAGACCAATAAGGCAGACAGAACACGCTGCAGGGCGGCAGACCTGGAGCAGGTGGGGCTGACTGCATGGTGGGGCTGACTTAAGGGGAAACTGAGACTCAGAGCTGACTGTGGACTACAGCAGTTGCTGTGGTTGGAGAAACTCCCAGTCTCACAGGACAGTTTGTTGGAAAGTGGGCTAGAGACAAGCAGGGAAGCTGATTTATTCCCTCTCCAGCCCCTCCCCCACAGGCAGCTCCGCAGCACAGCAAGAGAGTTGCCCTGGTGAATACCTAAGGCCCCGCCCCCTTACAGCTTAACAGGTACCCCAAACAAAGAAACAGGGCCAAAATGAAAGAACAGAGCAAAACTTCAGAAAGAGAGCTAAGTGAGGAGGAGATAGCCAACCTATCTGATGGAGAATTTAAAGCCCTGGTAATCAAAATGCTCACAGAACTGATTGAGCTTGGTCAAGAAATGAAAGAACAAATGAAAGATACTCAAAATGAAATAAAGCAAAATGTTCAGGGAACCAGCAGTGACAGGAAGGAAACCAGGACTCAAATCAACGGTTTGGAACAAAAGGAAGAAATAAACATCCAACCAAAACAGAATGAAGAAACAAGAATTCAAAAAAATGAAGAGAGACTTAGGAACCTCTGGGACAACTCGAAACATTCCAATACCCGAATTATAGGGGAGCTAGAAAGAGAACAACAGCAAGAAAATGAAAACTTATTTGAACAAATAGTGAAGGAAAACTTCCCCAATCTGGTGAAGGAAATAGACTTCCAGGAAGTCTATTTGGGACTTTCCAGAGAGTCCCAAAGAAGTTGGATCCAAAGAGGAACCCACCAAGGCACATCATCATTAAGTTACCCAAGATTAAAGACAAAGAGAATCTTAAAAGTAGCAAGAGAAAAGGAGACAGTTACCTACAAAGGAGTTCCCATCAGACTATCAGCTGATTTCTCAAAAGAGACCTTACAGGCAAGAAGGGGCTGAAAAGGAGTATTTGAAGTCATGAAAGGCAAGGACCTTCATCCAAGATTGCTCTATCCAGCAGAGCTATCATTTAGAATGGGAGGGCATCACTTCTCGGCCTTTTGGCTAAGATCAAGTGTAGAATGGGAGGGCAGATAAAGTGCTTCCCAGATAAGGTCAAGTTAAAGGAGTTCATCATCACCAAGCCCTTATTATGTGAAATGTTAAAGGGACTTGTCTAAGAAAAAGAAGATGAAAAATATGAACAGTAAAATGACAACAAACAATTATCAACAAATGAACCTAAAAAAAAAAAAAAGACCCAACAAAAAACAAAAGCTAAGCAAACAACTAGAACAAGAACAGAATCAGAAAAATAGACATCACATGGAGGGTTTTCAGTGGGGAGAGGAAAGGGAGGAATACAGGGGAAAGATACAGGGAAGAAGAAGAATAATTGATAAGCATTAAATAGAGGGAAGAGGTAAAAAATGGCATAGGAAACAGAGAACTCAAAGAACTTGTATGTACAACCCATGGGCATGAACTAAGGGGGTTAAATAGAGGGTTGGGGGGTGCAGGGCAAAGGAAGGAAAATTGGGAAAACTGTAATAGCATAACAATAAAATATACCAAAAAAAGAAAAGAAAATTGAGTAAAGGCCATTCATTGAATTTGGCAACTAGTTTTCTGTTAACATTCTAGAATGAAACCTGAAGGGGCCAATTAGGATAGAAATTGCAGGATATGAAAACGGTAACAGAAGATCTTAACTATGTGAGGTGATGGATAGGTTAATTAGTTTGATTGTGGTAATCATTTCACAATGTATATGTAGTATATCAAAATGTTGTGTACCTTAAATATATTTAATACTTGTCAATTATAGCTCAAGAAAACTGGACAAAAAATAAAAATAAATAAATAAAAATATAAAGGAAACAGAAGATCATATGCCTAAATGAAAAACATAAAACTATACAACTTTTAGAAGAAAATAAAAGGGAACATTTGTATGCCCTTGGCACATTAGCTCAGACTGCCACAACAAAATACTATCTAAACTGGGGAGCTTTTAAATAACAGAAATTTATTTCTCACAGTCCTGGAAATTAGAAGTTCAAGATCAGGGTGCTAGCCTGGTCAGTTTCTAGTAAGAACCTTCTTTGAGGCTGCAGGCTAACAACTGGTGTCTTCACATGGTGCAGAACAGAGCAGAGCAAGCAAGCTATCTCATGACTTAAAAACAATCCTCACCTCAGATATGCTTATTGATTTTAGAAAGAGAGGAAGGGGGTGGGGAGAGAAACATCAGTGTGAGAGAGAAACAATAATTGAATCAAACCTACACCTTAGGTATGTGCCCTGACTGGGAATCAAACCTCCAACCAACTGAGCAACCCAGCCAAGGCTCTCTTGCAACTTTTAAGGGCACTAATCCCATGCATGAGAACTCCACCTGTATTACTTCATCTAATCCTGATGGCCTCCCAAAGGCCTCACCTAATATCATAATGTTGGGGGTAGAATTTCAACATATGAATTTTGCAAGGACAGATCCAGTCCATACAGATGATGTCTTATAAAATTGTACACCTGAAACCTGTGTAATTTTATTAATCGATGTCGCCCCATAAATTCAATTAAATAAAAAAGATTCAGTCCATAACACTTGGGTTAGGCAAAAAGGTCTTATAATTGACATCAAAAGCATAATCTATAAAAGAGAAAAACTGATTATGTTGGACTTCATCAAAATTTTAAAATTTTGTCCTCCAAAAACATTGAAAACATAATAAGATAATTCACAGGCTGAGAATCTGCAGATCATGTATCTGAAAAAGGACTTGTGTCTAGTATATATAAAAACTCTTACAACTTAATAATAATAAGAGAAATAACTCATTTTTATTTGTAAGTTTATATTTAAAGAACCCAATTTAAAAATTAACAAAAGACTTGCATAGACATTTCACCAAAGAAGATAGGCAAATGTTAATAAGATCATGAAAAGATGCTCAACATCATTGCTATTAGGAGAATGCAAATTAGAAGTACAAGGA